TGGTCTCGAACTCCTGAACTCAAGTGATCTGCCTGCCTCGGCCTCCAAAGTGCTGGGGTTACAGGCGTGAGCCACCATTCCCAGCCACCAGATGGTTTTTAGTACAAGAATGACACTGTATTTTAAAAGAATTATTCAGTTTCCTGCTTATATGGGGATAATACCCCATATAAGGTTATCATGAGGAGTAAATTGGAGAGATTAAGTGAGAGGACTCATATAAGGGTCTTTGTAGGTGCGAGGCAGAATAGACAGTTGAGTGGATATCGGCCATAATGGTGACATAGTCGGCGCACTGAGGAATTCAGGGTAGGGCTGGGAGCTGGAGACAGTAATAACCTGGGGGTCTGTGCGTCCAAGAGATGGTATAAGATAGTTCCTCTAGTCAGCCTAAGGCTGGGTGCACTTCACTGTAATCCCAGCACTTTGGGAGGCTGAGGTGGGAGGATCAGTTGAGTCCAGGACTTGGAGACCAGCGAAACCCAATTGCTACAAAAAATACAAACAAAACAAACACACAAAAAACGGTGGCTCTAGTGCCCGATAGAAACGACTTGGGGTACAGGCCCTAAGTCAGGTACGCTGCTGCCCAAGAGCCTGACTGGTAGATGGAGATGCGAAAGGGGCACAGGGCTCTCTAGGTAAGCAGGAGGCAGCAAGAATGACAGTTCCAGGGGTTTTACGTGGAAGGAAGAGGAGGCCAGGAGGAGGGGACTTCAGGTCAGATTGAGGAGGCATGTGCCATCCGGAGGAGGAGACTGTCGATGTAATTATGAAAGTCCACGTCCTAGCTGCTTTTCCATTGCCCTGGTGTACAATCTCAGGCCCTGCAGACTGCACATCTGAGGACCCCTGCCTGCCCTGTCTGGCTTCTCTGAATCTAATAAGGGAGAGGATGCATATGGAAAAAGAACACGGAACAGAGAGAGAGAGAGAAAAAAAAAAAGCACCAAGGTCCAAGTTCAGAGAGCCCTGGTAATTTTAACTTGCAACTCACCTAAGAAGAGCCTAACGGTCGCAAGAGTATGTAGGAAGGACCCAACCCGACCCTGCCCAGTACGCAGCACCCAAGGGCGGCTGGAAGCGCAATGCGCGTGCTGAGTACAGCGCTATTCAGTCCGCAGGCTTTTTAAGGATTTCAATTTCAAAGAACGGTCGGTTTCGGGGCGGACTCTGCTTCAGTCCCAGGCCTCGGGAAGCAGCGGGGAGACAGACTGGGACACCAAGCATGCAGAAGGGGAGGGGTCTTGAAATAGACGGAATGCGAGAAGGCTCCCCTCCTGGCCAGCCTTGCTGGGCGAAGTGAGAAGCACTGAGGCCTGAGGAAGCTCCACGAATGCGCAAAGGGCCGCTCGCTGTGATTACTCGGGTGGCGATGGTCGTGATGATGCCGCTGCCCCGCCTGCGCCGAAAGGGAAACCCCAGGGGAGGCGGAGGCCAGCGGGGATTTCTCAAGCCAGGTGGTCCCCTTCATCCACGACGGACAGGAAGGGCGACCTCCCGAGGCCACTTTCAGGTCTTGCGACCGGAGCAGAGCTACCACGGAGACGCTCCTCCCGAGGCCTCACGCGTCGGAAGGTTCATGTCCCCTGGATTCCGGCTGACTGACACGTCCCCTGGGCAGGTTCTCGGTAGCGGCCGACACGCCCCACTCCGGGCACAGCGAGATCTGAGGACCACGCTGAGGAGTCATTTCCGCCCTGATTCTCGGCCGCTATAGAAGGGGCGGAGCCGCAGCGGAGGGCGCGCCGCTTGGACGTCACTTCCGGTGAGCCCGGCAGCGACAACGGCAACATGGCCCTGAACGGAGCCGGTGAGGACTTGGGCGGCAGGGGCTTGTGGCTGTGAGGTACGGGAGGCAGCCCGCTCCGGCAAGACCCCCAGTCCCTATGCTTCTCTTCCCCAGAAGTCGACGACTTCTCCTGGGAGCCCCCGACTGAGGCGGAGACGAAGGTGCTGCAGGCGCGACGGGAGCGGCAAGATCGCATCTCCCGGCTCATGGGCGACTATCTGCTGCGCGGTTACCGCATGCTGGGCGAGACGTGCGCGGACTGCGGGGTGAGGCGAGACTCGGGCGAGTGAGCAGGGATGGGTCTGCGGGTCGGGCCACTCAGCCCTTCCTCAGTCCTCCCCTCTGGACTCCATCGCCGGCGTCTCATTCCGGCCCCATGTTCTTTTTGGTCCGTAGACGATTCTCCTCCAAGACAAACAGCGGAAAATCTACTGCGTGGCTTGTCAGGAACTCGACTCAGACGTGGATAAAGATAATCCCGGTGAGGGTAAAAAATAATCCGGTAGAGGGGCCGGATGTGCTTAGGGGGGAAGCGTGGTAAGTGGTGATAGAGGCCCGAGAACAGTAGGCCTGGGGGGCGACAGTGGAGTCTCTGGGTGGGGCAGAGGTAAAATGATTTCTCCTTTAGGCTCTAAAGAGGACCATTAACTCAATAAGAGAACTAAGCACCTCCTGTGTGCCAGCCACTGCGCGAGAGTCTGAGCTCAATCAGGCCCAGTACTGATGGAGAGTTGAAGCTAAGGCATAAATGTGATACAAAGTAGAAAGTGGATGAATTGCCTTGTAGAGGGACAGGGAAAACACCTCAAGCACAGAAAGAGCAGAGCAGGAAAGGAGATGGCTCACGGCTGAGGTGGGCCAGGCATCCTGACCATTCTACCCACTTTCTCCTCTTTTTAGCTCTGAATGCCCAGGCTGCCCTCTCCCAAGCTCGGGAGCACCAGCTGGCCTCTGCCTCAGAGCTCCCCTTGGGCTCTCGACCTGTGCCGCAGCCCCCAGTACCTCGTCCGGAGCACTGTGAGGGAGCTGCAGCAGGACTCAAGGCAGCCCAAGGGCCACCCACTTCTGCTGTGCCTCCAAATACAGATGTCATGGCCTGCACACAGACAGCCCTCTTGCAGAAACTGACCTGGGCCTCTGCTGAACTAGGCTCTAGCACCTCCCTGGAGACTAGCATCCAGCTGTGTGGCCTTATCCGCGCATGTGCGGAGGCCCTGCGCAGCCTGCAGCAGCTGCAGCACTAAGAGAAGCCCCTGAGAAAAACCCTCTAGAAAAACAGCTGTTCCTCTGTGTGGTTTGTTCTTTTCCTGGTTCCGAGTGTGCATGCCAGCCCCAGCTGCACTCACGTTTTTCCTATTTTGGCCTCTCACCTCTCCACTCTCTGCTCTCCTTGACGCCCTGAGATGAGTTGAACTTGTTTCTGCTCAGTTTCCCGTCAGGATTCGGGAGTAGGTAGATAGGACTATGTGATGCACCTTTTCTAAGGAAGAGGTGATAGCCTTTTCAGAGGTAGCAGCCAGAGGGGTGGACCCTAGCCTTGTGTCTGGCAGCACATCTGCAGCCTCCTCCGCCATCCGGTGCCCATTCCCCACCTGGAAGTGAGATTTTGGGTTCCAATCCCCTTGATAGATTCCGCTCCTTTCCCTGAGCATCCTGACCCTATCAGCCTATTCCATCTCATGGCCACCCCAGGTACTCAGCGACAGGAGTTTGTGGTGACCTCAGCGTCAGGTGGCACGTTAGGCACCAACTGTGGACTTGCCAGTCTCCTGATTCCACTGTTAGATCATTTTTCTTGGGAGGGTAATGGGCAGAACACAGTGTGTGTGGGGGCGGGGCGCGGCGGGCAGACGGGTAGCGAAAAGAACCACGAAGAAACCACGCCTGCCCCCTTCGGCCTTTCCCCCCCTCCGCCGCATTTTTCCATCTCCCCTTGAGTGAGTGGGTGCCCCGCTGTCTTTTTCTCAGCTTTACGCGACGTGGTCCCACAGCCGTTGCCTTTTTAAGAGAGGCCCGGCCCATGCGGAGGGGGTGGGGCAGAGGCGGAGTCTGAGGAGCTGGGGAAGGAACAAAGCGCGGCCTGCGGGCGGCGGCTG